AGAGAGAGAGAGAGAACTTGAGAGCACGGGGAATAAGGTTGGTAGTCTCGGTATACATACGTGCAACTGCTGCAATACACACAACCGATGCGTCTGGCATCTATAAATAGAATTAAACCCCAAAGAAGAACCAAGACGACGATACCGGTGAAACGACCACCGAGGTTGCCGCGAGGTTGCCACGAGGTCACCTCAGGTCGGATGTCTATAAATCACACGTGTGAATTGCCGCACACGGATTCAATTAATTACATTGCAAAAATTGCAACGACGCAGTATAACTTCGCAGTAAAGTTAAATAATAAACGATAATAAATTTTCCAAAAGGACCAAAGTATCTCTGCATCGGTATGATTCTCAAATTTCAAATTGCACTAGCAAGTATCTGAATGTTTTCGGGGCATCTGTTGCGCACGTGAGTTACGACCTAGCCGTAAGGCATCGTTCACATCTTTCCCTTTTACGCGAATATGTTTCACGTTTCCGAGATCTGCCACCTTTTCGGATAAACTTACATAGAAAGCAGTATGTTGTTGCAGTGTATATTTGCTCTCTGTTAAATTTTCTACCACCGTCTCAAGATTGTCAAACCAAATGTAACATTTACATTTACATTTCGAATAAAGATTTAAATTTCATCAAGTAATCGATCGACAAAATACGTAATATAAATATATAAACGATGAACAGTAATTATTTGTTATTGTTTACAATGAAATCTAGACAATGTAAGATTTGGACAATCTGCTTTTTAATTGATTTTAAAATTTAATTTTCATCTTATATTATTTCGCGTTCTTATATTGTGTATTTAACGATCGAAATAATAAAACAAAACTATATAAAAAAAAAAAAATGAACTATATGAAAAAAAAAGAAAAACAAATAACACATCATCTTTATCGAATCGTTCATTTTATTTAATATTCTTCTATTTCTATAAATTTTTCGATATTTTTGATCATAAGAAAAATGGTAAAGAAAGCAGGAAATTGACGTTACAAAAATAAATCAAATTAAATATAAAAAGCAATTATTGTACATCTTAATTTTAGAAAAACTAATATACAATTCGATGATAATAATGTTTCCTTTGTTGAACAAATAAATAAAAAATATAATAAAATGACTCACCTTTTCGAGACACTCCTGACCAATAGCTTTGGGATCGACTTGTACTTCAAGAATGACAGAATTAGCTTGACTAACGAGACACCACATCTTGTCAGGTAGTATCCAAAAAGGTTCTTACACGCACTGTTTTTTTCGGTAAGATTCTTTTCGGTAATACGATTTCGACTAGGCGTAACAAACCGATAAATCAAAACGCACGTTCACAGAATTTTCGACACGCGCGTTTACAACGATCTCTTCCTTGAATTCACAGCTGGTCGATGACCGGCTTTACTTGGCACGTTCTTAATCATAACAGATTTAAAACGCGTACCTATCCACAGCTGTCACTGTATCCTCACACACGACTTCGTACATCATCAACGTGCTTACGCTCGTATTGTTCGAACGCGTCTCGTCGGCTTCCATTTCTCGGTGCAGAATGGCACACGTACTGACCGCTTCGCGCTGCCAGTATTAGTTCGTGAAATCGAATCACCTCTCGATGTCTATAGAATGGCGCTAGTGTTGTGAACGCACAAAACACACGAACGACGCGCACCCAACCGATTATATACTAAGATCACGATGAAAGAAAGGTTAGGTTCATACAGCTGATTCCCCCTCTGTCTAGAATATTTTCTTTTCTACCTGAATATCTGACCATTTACAATAAGCGTAAACAGAAATATCCAATAAGGTTACAGTTGTACTTTTTTTTATAGAAACTGCGTCTGCGCTCAATGAATAAAGTTAAAAAATTCAAAAATTTAAATTTAATAATTAAACATTTTATAACATATGAAAGATAAATGAATTATGATAAAATATTTTTCTTATATAATGTTTTCATGTTATCATCATGTTAATATCGATAATTCATATGTCTAATGTCGAATAAATTGCATTGCAGCCATTAAAATATTCAAAAAAATCAAAATATTTATAATTAAATATTTCAAAATTAAAACTGAATAGATAGTAAATTTCTTATTATATCGTTATATCGTTCTTATATATCGTTTAATATAAAATGATAAAAACTTTAAGTACAAAGTAATTACTTTTTGATCGTTTTTATTTCCGAACATTAATACTGTACAGATTAGTCAGCATACGGAGACAGGGTTTATACATAGGATATAATTTCTTGTATTTCTATATCTTAACAAAGTTTAAATGTGTGTTTCAAACAAAACAAATAATATATATTATGTACATCGTCGTGAGAATCACATCAGATTGGGAGCTTATGTGTGATTCTTTGGAAGTTGTACAAAATTGTTTAACGAATTTTTTATGTCCTCGATGCAGCAGAATTATGGAATGACATCTAACAATATACACTTAATGATGTACAACTTTCTACCACCACCCTAAGCTTTAACATTTACACGTCATGCTAATATATCTAGGCCTTGATATATCATAATGACGATAATTTGTTTAATGCATCTATATTGCTACCATGACGGCACTATAATAATTCTTAAACTTTCCATTATGGTGGTAAAAGCTCGGCATAGGTTACATTTATTGTCGTGTAGCAACTGCAGAAAGAATTCTAATAATTTGAATACCACCATCTACAATTGAAGGATATACACATTTCCTGACAAAAGTACAACATAACAACGATAGATACGTTTTAAGACATGATAAAACAAAGTACTTAATGTACATTTATAGCATAAGATGCAATATTTATAAGTAATCGATACGATTCTTCTGATTTAAATTTCGGCGCGGTAATTCTTGTGCAATTCTGCTTTAATGTCGTATACCAACTCCAAAATTGTATGCACAACCTATAATATAAAAAAACAAAGAAAATGTTTAACTAAAAAATATTATTACGTCTTCCATATATATTTTACATTAACTTACAGAATCTTTATGCATAGATACAGTCTGATTCATTTCTTCTGTTTTTATTTTTGTATCAGCTTCTATACGGGCTGCTACATCTTCTTTTGATCCCATATGCTACATGTAACAATAAAAAAAATATATTATGCATAATGTTATACATTTGTAGTAATAATATTTTATTAAATTAAACTATAAAAAAATTATATACATATATTAAAATTTACTCACTTTTGCTTCAAATTCACGAAATTGTTTTTCTCTTTCTTGCCTATATTTTTCAATTTCATCTTGAGCTTCTTCTTTTGCTTGTTTCAATCTACGTGCTTTACCTAAGAGAAAAATTATTTTATTACAATAATTTTACTAATTATATTATATTATGATAAATGATTATTATAATTTCTACTAAAGAAACGTAATAATGATTAAAAATATTTCTCCAAACTATTATCAATAAATTAATTGATTTTTTTTATCATAAAATCAAAAAATCATCAAATCATAAAATCATCAAATAATATTATATGTATATATAAAATGTATATTTATATTTATAAACATTCATGGTAAAAAAATTATAATTATATTTCAAATGAAAACTGTATTTTAATAAATATATATTATATATATTAAAACATAATTTTTCAATGCATTTAAAAGGTTACACCCATTTAAATTCAGGGTCATAGAAAAATTGATTATAGCGGGTTATGTTAAAAACATATTCGTGTTAGAACATGATTTATAATGCTTGAATAGAAACTCACGTTTTCTAGCTTCTGCAACTTTCTCTGCAGCTCTTTTTTCAGCTGCCAAAAGCTGTTGAATACCTTGCGTTTGGCTGGCCATCTTCGCAACAGAATGCTATATTCTGAAGGAATCGCAAATCGATCATATGACTTTAGAGTTTCCGTTGTTTGCCCCGCCTTAACGATGGCGCTCTACGATATCATTAAATATAGACAAAGAGAGTAAATAATAGAAGGAAGATACAGATAGGGTAAAAATATTGAAATAGCGCCATCTTCAGAATAGATGAAATGCGAAAAAGATAACGATTAGAAATAGAAAGATAAAGATAAACTAAAAATCGATCATCAACGCCATCTTTCGAATAGTAAAGATATTCTTTAAAGATAAGATAAGATAAGGTAGAGGATCTAAATAAGAATTGAGGAATAATACCATCTCTTAACTATTTTTGATATTTAAAAAATGACGATAAATATGACGATTAAAAAATGATACATATCTTTATACTCTTTTCTTCTTCTATTTTCTATCGTTTCTACATCTGTTTAATCTATGAAACAGAGCATACTGAAGATGACATTGATTCCAATATTTTTAACTTGTTTTTATTTTTCTTTTTTTTCTATATTTGCTTTGCAAAATTTATGCGATCAAGAGATAATGACGATTTTTAAATATTTGAAAATATGATGTATATATATTGTAAATACTATTATTTAGGAAAAACATTAACATTTTAAAATTAAAAAAAATACAATTTTATTTTTGGGAGTATATAACGAAATTTATTTATTTTAAAATATTTTATTTCCTTGAATATTTTGCCTGTTGTTTAATAAAATTTTTTCTTGGCGTTTCTTTTCTTCCTTAAATGCTTCACTATTAGCTTTCCGTTCTATTCGTCTTTCCTAAAAGTAACAACATAGTAATTTTACATTTATATATATACAATTGCATGTACATAATAAAATAACTTTACTTTTCTATATTCTTTAAGTGCTTTCTTTCTTTGTCTTCTTTCCTCAGGAGTTTCATTTTTAGATCTTATACTCAATGTACTTAAGGTAGATCTCATAGTTTCTGCAAGAGACTGAGAATATTTTGATTTACAATATTCATTTTGTTGATCAAATTGAGCCAATGTTTTTGCAGTTAATTTTTCAGAAGATCCATCTAGAATATTTTTTGGTATACCAGTTTTTGGATTGATTTTGATCTTTTGTGGATGCTATAAAAATATTTTTATATTGTAAATTTACATGAAAAAAAGAATAAAAAATATATAGATAAACATTTATTCTTAAATAACCTTAGGTTCAGAAATTAATTTTGGATGATTGTAAATATTACTATAAGTACTAATAATACTTTCACAATCCCATTTATCTTTTTCTCTTGCATTAACAATAAGTTCTTCCAAACTGTCTTCATCTTCAGAACTTGAATACTCATTTTCTAAAATTTTCATTTTATCTTTCATCAATTGTGCAACATTATCAGCCTATTAAAATAAAATCACATTTAATTTTTTCCATTAAATATATCATCTTAAATATACATCTCAAATTTAACTTACATTTTCATTTTTCTTTTTTTCAAATTCTGTTGCACATTGAAGAATTAAATCTGAATTTGGGGCAATATGTCCTTCGATTTCATCACAATCTAATGCACCAATTTCATTATCATCATATGCAGTATACATCTATAAAAATAATAATATATTTCATGTAAAAATTTATAATGTAATAAAAATGATATAATAATATTTACTTTTTCAAATTTGTCATCAAGAAATGTTAATTGTTCATTTCTTCTAATCACACTGCTACTCATTGAATATTCTGTAAAACGGGATTTTGTTTCTTCTTCTTTAAAAGTATATTGAGGTCCATTTAAACTATATACTTCATCTTCTTCTTCATCTGATAATTCCATATGTCTTTCTGATGAAATATCGGATGCTTCATCTGATTCATACAACCATATTTTTAAATTATTAATAAAGGAGTTTTACAATAATATTTTTATAAATACATACCATATTCTTCTTCTAAAATGTCACAATTGTTTGTATTAGCCAATTCCATAAAATTATCTTCCAACTGATTTTCTGGATCATCATAATCAAAATCATCATCCATAGCTGCAACTATATCTGGATCTAAATCTAATTGTAATCCTGAAACTGGAGCTGCTTTATTTAAAAGCCCAACTTTTTCTTCAACATTTGAAGCAAATACAGAAGATGGTAAATTAATTTTAGGTGTATTATGCGATTCATTTATTTTTGAAGTTGTAGAATCTACACGTTCCCATTCAGCTGTTAAAGTATTAACATCTTTAAGATGTTGCAAATAATCATAATCATCATCAAAATATATGCCATATTTTCTTTGTTCTTCCTTTCGTTTACTATCATCTAACTTTTTTTTTTCAAATTTAGCAGCTTGTGTATCTCCAATAGGAACAAGCACGCGTTGTGGTGCAGTTTCATCAGCAATTAATGGATCTCTTTGAGAACGATGAACTAAATGAAATGTTACTGAATTTTTTTTATCAATAAATTTCTTCGTTTTCCCCTTAGGCTGAAAAAATATTTATTTCGTAAGAACATAAATATAACCTAAAATATGAATATAAATTAATGTATTTTTTTTTTAATTTACCATTTTTCAGTATTTTCTTATTTCACAAGAAAAAATTAAAAAACAAATTAGTAAAATAATACTTCGAATTATTCACAAATTTAACGTTACGAACATTACTGTCACAAAATACAAAAGCATGTGCTCAGTAGTTCTCAATCTAAATCAAATAAAAATTTATATTTAAGATAAAGCTATAAAAAGTACATTTAAAATTACGATATTTTCATCAATTCTATTTAAAATATTAAAATGTTAAAGAACACATTAGTATATATTAGTAAATTAAATATAAGTAATGGGAGAAAAATAATTATATTTCATATTTTTAAATGCATTATCTTCATAGTAGTCAGTATTATAGCGTAGATTATTGATATTCGATAAACACGTAACGAACTTTGAAGAAAGTACAGAAAATGGGACTATTTGATCGTTTAGCGAATCTTTTAGGTCTTAAGAAAAAAGAAGTAAACGTTTTAGTAGTGGGCCTTAACAATAGTGGTAAGTCGACGGTCATAAATAATTTCAAACGCGAGGATGACCGTTGCATAGACATAGTACCTACTGTTGGGTATAATGTTGAAAAATTTTCATGTAAGTTAAATAATGACAAGTGAACAACATTCGATGTTGAATTGACGTGCTTAAAACAGTATTTCTACTTTATTATTTGCACTTGCTGATCTGTTCAAGCACCAATTGTTATTTAATACAATAAAACAAATATATTAAATTAAAGACAAGATTTATTTTGAAACAATTTATATATATATGTATAAATGTTATATGAAACATACAATACATTACAATTAATTAAGAAATTATTGAATATTTATATTACACACTTTAGTTTTTTAATCTTTTTCTTTTTTAATTTTTTTATTAATTATAGTTTGTTTTTTTAAGTTTAATTAAGTTTAAACAAATGATTTTTTTTCTCTTATTTTATTTTTCAATAATTTTCTAAGTGTATTTTAAAATCGATTTCTTTCATTTTCTATCAATATCTGAATTATTTTTAGTTATTGTAATATCACTAATACTAGTTGATGTGATGGAGTCAGAAGAATTTTGTTTATTTTGATGTATTGGAGTACTAGTTAATGGTTTAATTAGTTTTTTATTTATATGTTTAAATGCAATTGTATCAGAAGATTCATTTTCTGAATTATTCAAATGAAATTTCAATTTTGTCTGTTTTAATCTTTTTTCTTTAAAGTGAGTTAATTTTGGTGTCAATTTTATGACATCGATATTTCGTTGTTTAATATTTTGTGATATTTGCTCTTTATTTTGAATAGGATTTTCTTTACTTTTTTTATATAAATTTAAAATGTTATTGAAATTTTCTTCCTCTATTTGTTTTTTTCTCTTTTTTCTTCTTTTATGTATCAAAGATTTCTTTTGTGTAATTGAATATATGCCTAAAAATCCTTCTTCATCTGAATTACTTAAATTCTGAAAATAAAAATAATGTTTTGAATAGATTCATGCTTGCTTAAAGAACTTAAAACTTTTACTTACATTAACTTCCAATGGACTGTCTTCAGTATTTTCTTTTGTCCATTTAAATGCTTCCAAATTTAACATATTCTCAAATGCTTTATGCAAATCAAATTGTTTAAAACATACCAAAGATTTTTGTAAATGCTTTTTTATATTTTGGTCTAATTCATCTTGTGTTATTGAATTTACTTCAATTTTATGTGGTCTAGCTTCACTGATATTATATAAGAGATATATAATTATATTTATGTATGAATCAGTATTTTTATAATATAGGCCCATCAGTTCTAAGCTAATTTGTGTATATCCTAAATTAGATTGTAAATTACTATTTTTCGTGTGAGAAACAATATCCTAAACATTAAAATTTGTATTTAATTCTGTATTTTTTTATATAGAAAAATAAATTAAGAAAAAATATATATATATATATATACCATCAATGCATTATATTGTGTTTGTCGTATAAAATAAGAATCTATATGTTGTTTACAAATTTTTAAGAAATGTGGTATTTTTCTTAACTCAGTGATAGGAAAATCAGATGTTAAATCATTTAAATCAATACTCATTGGCATTATCCATTTTCCTAAAATTCCTTTTTTTTGATCATTTAATATTTGTACAGCAAAAATATTTTTTCTGTCATACTTATTTAAAGGTGAAAAATTAAATATATATTCTTCTTCTGAAAACTTGACACAGTAAAAACCAGAATATCTATATAATTCAGATTTCAATTGTAAATTGACATTTGGAATTTTATTGTCACTTAAATTATTAGCAAGATTTGAACGAAAAATACATTTAGTATTTTTAAATTTTAATATATCCAAACTCCACTCAATTTGTAAAATTATAGATTTCAATTGTTCTATTTGTTTTTTTAATCTGTTTTTCACTTCACTTACAGGTACTAAAATAAAATAATTCTTTATAATAATTAAGATTATCTTTATAACAATTAATTTAGGGTTAGATTTTCTTAATGATTTATTATTTAATGATTTATTATACCTTGCTTTTCTTCTAAATCTTTTTCATTATTAATAACGTTCTGTAAAACATCACACATCTCCATATTTGTAAAAAATTTTTTTTCAAATTAATTATTTCTTTTAAATCTTATCCCGCCAATATATTGTATTTATTATATGTATATTCAGTGGTTCTCATTCATTTTAATATATGAAGAAATAATGAAGGAACAGGTATCGATTTATATAGTAAAAAACATTAAATACATATAATTTTAAAATCATCGTATATACCAATATTGATAACAAATTTAATTGCATTGCAAATTTTTTAACATTTTTTTTCAGTTAAAAATGTTAGTTTCACAGCATTCGATATGTCAGGACATGATCGTCATAGATCATTATGGGAACACTATTATAAAGATTGCCATGGTATTATTTTTATAATTGATAGTAGTGACAAATTACGATTGGTTGTTGTTAAAGAAGAATTAGATATGCTTCTTCAACATCCAGATATAGCTGGTACAAATTATTTTCTTGTTGTTCTTTATTAGATATCTTCTAAAAATTAAATTTTCTTTGCTAAATATTTTAGGTCGTAAAATACCGATTCTCTTTTTGGCTAATAAAATGGATTTGCCTGATTCTCTAACCACTGTTAAACTTGTTGCTGGGCTTGGTCTTGATCGTATACAAAATAAACCTTGGCATATACGAGCAACAAATGCAATTACTGGAGAAGGCTTACAATTAGGCATAGAATGGCTTACAGATCAAATTCGTGACATATATATTAATAAAAGATAAAGATAAATTATTTATCATAATATACCAATATTCGTGAAAGTTAACTAAACAAAAAGCAATCAATTATAATATTTAAAATTGGACATTTTTAAATTCACACAAATAATATTTATACATCTATTTTACTTCGATTTCGTCCTCGTGAATGAAATTCAAATTACGATAAATAAATATCTAATTTACAATATCTAATTCTAATCATCTGTTCAATGACAGACAGTATATACATATCAAATCATGTTTTTATGATAATTTATTTAAATTATTTAATAGAAATATTAATTATATTGAAAAATTTTTATCAACAAATTTTATATGCAATAAATTACTGTGCTCTTGGTAGATGGCGCTTATAAATGCTTATCTACGTCAGAGTTTGTGCGTGAACTGTGTAATATCGATTTGTAACATTTAACAGATTTATGTAAATTTTTAAGATATTTATAAGATAATTCATAAAATGTTTATAAATATTAATAAAAAAATGAAAAAAGATTTCGCGATTTATATTTTGTTTTCGATTTTATTTAAATTTATAGAGTGTAATAGCGTAAATAAATATGCGTTACTTATGCCAAATGTTAGACCAAATAGGGTAAATATAATTTAAAAAAATAATTGTTTAATGACATATATAATTGTTTAATAAACATTTTTTTTAAATAAAATTCTCAATTTATATTAAATGAATAAATAAAAAAATAATAAAATTATTTTTCTTATTTTTAGGAAGAATTGTATTTGTGTACTCCTGTTAAAGTAGATCCTTCTAAAAATTATTATTTGACGGGTTTCGAACCAAATGCAACAATGGAAACCGCTCATCATATTCTTTTATATGGTTGTAGAAAACCTGGTAGTTCAAAACCTGTATGGGATTGTGGAGAAATGGTACATGGTATAAATGATAACAAAGATACAATGGTACCATGTGCAGAAGATTCTCAGGTAGGTAATGTGAAAAAATAAAACGTAAAAAGCAATAATAAGATTTTGTAAAAAATATTATTAATATTTGATTTTATTAATATTTTCATAGATATTATATGCTTGGGCTAGAGATGCACCAACATTAATTTTACCAGAAGGAGTAGGTTTCAAAGTTGGTGGAGATTCTTCAATTAAATATCTAGTTCTACAAGTTCATTATGCTCATATCACACAATTTCAAGATGGCAGAACCGATGATTCTGGTGTATTTCTATATTACACATTAAATCCATTGAATAAATTAGCTGGTGTTCTTCTTTTGGGAACTTCAGGTATCATACCACCTAGAAGAACAACATACATGGAAACAGCCTGTATGATAAAAGAGAACAAAACTATTCATCCTATTGCATATAGAACACATACCCATTCTCTTGGAAAAGTAGTTTCTGGATATTTGGTAAAACCAGATTATACTTGGATAGAATTAGGCAAAAGAGATCCTTTGACTCCACAAATGTTTTATCCCGTACATAATAAAGTTTCAGCTAGTCAGGGTGATCAAATAGCAGCCCGTTGTACTATGCAAAGTACACGTGATAGTTGGACATATATTGGCGCTACTAAAAATGATGAAATGTGTAATTTTTATTTAATGTACTATGTTGAAAATGACAAACCATTGTCTATGAAATATTGCTTTACTGCTGGTCCTCCTCGTTATTATTGGAAAGATGCTGGACTTTTTAACATTCCCACTATAGAGGCGTCTAGTTTATAACGTGATATATAAAAATCTTGATTAGAAATTGATACAGAGACAATGTTATTTATAATGAAAGTATTTTATCTATTTATTGTAAAATAGAATTTGTTCTTTACATTTTATTTGTAATAACTTGTGATAAACTTTCGTATTTAATACGAAATTATGACAATTTCTAAGTTGATGTTATTAACATTTTGTTCCTATAACATGCATAAATTACTTATTTTATTCTTAGAATTATTTTGTATTCGAAACAACAGTACTTAACTAATTTTATTTTAATGTATGAATGTATCATAGTTATGTTTTATCTTCGATTTTATATAAGGCCTATAACTAAATTTTTCTAACGTACCTGCCGTTAATTTTATCCGATTATTGTATCCAGCTATAATGGATGAAGAAACGTAAACAATATCCCAAATAAACTCTATCTTTTCTATGAAAAATCTTGAATTCAGTATTAGCGATTTTTTTGTTGTGAAACATTTACCATTATGAAATGGTAAATGTTTAATCGTATAATAATAATAGAGATCATTTTTGAAATTATAGACTGAATGTATTATATTTTCATAATATATTATGATAATATATAAATATTTTCATAATATATTTTACTTTAGTTATAAATGTAACAAATAAAACTTATTTTTTAAGTTAGACAAAAGATACACGGATGCATTTTTTATGAATATTATCGTAATAATATTATTTCGATATATAAGAATAAAATAAATGCATATCTGAAAAAATACGATTTATATAATTTTTGTTTCGTTTATCTCTTACATTTCTTTTTTCATTTTTCAGAATTCAAGAGTACTAAGTATCATTTTTATTATCACAATTTGACAAGTGTAGTAAATATTTTGCAAAGTTTATTGTCTCATAGATTTAGTTCTTCTTGAAAGTATGTCGATAAGCGTGGACGAACGTTTTTGGAAAACAAATGAACGGAGAAAGTGCAACGAGTATGTAAAAGAATCTATGGAAGGTGTGGTCGTGCACTTTAAAAGCTATCGAACACTTAAAATAACTAATTTCTCTTCAAAGAAGAAACTTAAACTTTTTATCGATTTTTTTTTTTTCATCTAATATACGAAATAACAACTTACACAAATAATGTTTAAATGAATCTTTACGCTATAAAAAGAAAATTAATTAAAGAAATTAATTGATATTTACATTGTAAATTAATTACAGTAGATTCGTAAACTCGTTAACATCGTTCATGATGTCTTCGGCATCTTCTTTTGAGACCGTCGATAATCGCGCAACTTTGACATTATCTATTTAAGAAAAATAATTTCTTTTGAAAACTCGCATACATAAATCTATCCTTCTTTTCACCTGTGTATCTATCTGTGAATAGCTTTCTTTTCCCTATAGAAACATAAAGGAAGTATATAAAAATAAAGTATCACGTATAAAATCGGACCGAACATTTATACGACAGGATAAATTTATTACAGATTTTGGTTCTATGAAAGTAATTGATCGAAGCGTGAGCTGTATCGAAATAATGCGATCTTGTGAAAGTAAAATCGGATCGAAGCCTCGGTATACTTTACACTTCCGGTTCTCGAACGTGTTCTTTCGTATACTACGATTTACGACTTCGTTAATGATCTAATGGTTGCGCTATCTCAAACGAATATCTAACGAAGATCAAAGATGAAGCTTATTAATACGAAAAGATAAGAAAAGCATGAGAAGGTTAACTGTAACACGATGAAACCAGATATTTGTACGTTACAACATTTCTATCTATTCAAAATAGAATATTGACGTTTGTTTGACAAATGATATGATTTCAATGATATGAAGCGATATAAACGAGAGCAAGTTAATCAAATTTATTTAATATGTCAACTCGCGCTAAATTTATCTTAAACTTTCGTTTCAGACTTCGTAACATCGAAAACGAAAACGAACTTCATTCCGATGTGGGAATAGTCGTTACTTTCTTTACCGATGAAGCGTATTTTCACGATTTCAACGATAAAGTTTTATCTTTGACACGAACCCTTTTATTTTTCATACACACAGGTACAATATCCGTCGTTCGACGATAAAAATTCAATAATGCGTCAATGAAAACGGCGTGTCACGCGCGTACATAAAACTATGATCGTCGGTAAAAGCATGTCTTGTCGTTAGGAAAGCGAGCGAAGCACATGCAGCCGATCAACCGTATATGCTCTGCAGTCAACTTCGAAAGTAAGGGGCCTCGATCACGTTTTGCTCGACGCAGGTTGGCGCACAAACCAAGTAAGTAGACACGACCTAAGCTTTGTTTCTTTTTTTTCTCGTTTCTCTTTTATCGAGTTCTATTTTTCACCTCTTCTCTCTCTCTCTCTCTCTCTCTCTCTCTCTTTCTCCATTTCCCTATAAATATTTGAATCGACGTCGAAAAGAATGCGTAAGAAACGAGACAGAAGAAGATCGAATTTCGAATTGAAGAATCACATTTATCAAGCCGACGCGGATTCCTTTCCTCGGAAGCGGAATTTCACCGCGTTATTCCTGCGCGAAAGTCTAATTGATCCAATTAAATGGATCGTCATTCGATGATGCAAATTTTTAATCGAACGACGCGATTTGATTTTCGCATTGTGATACTGATATACACGCGTAAACCGAACGAACCAGATATCGTTCCGGAGTCTAGAACTCGGATTAAGTTTTAGATTCGAAAACATATCTTGCCCATTAACGGCAAACGAGGCTACATTGCATCGACTCGGGCGCGCGTATTTGTCAATGTAGCACGTCTTCGAAGAATCCTAGCGAGAATAGACACGCGTTAAATGCTCGCCTTTCGCGAGTATCCATATATCTCTTCATTCTTTATTCCACTCTTCTTATCTAATCTTTCGTCGATATTTACTTCCTTTGTTGGAAAACTACCAGCAGAGACTCAAGCGTATAATTTTACGAATAATTACATTTATTCGTTTCTCCACTCGCAACCGAAGAAAGAATGGAATAGGAATGAAAAGAATATAATTATCCGATTCGTCGAGACAAAGTTAAGTAAATATTAGAAAGAGAGAAAAAGAGATTGGTGTAGAGTAGTTGGCAACAAATTGGCGCGTGTTAGGGGCTGGGAGATGCAGGGATACGAGGGATGTAGCTAAACCCACGCTCTTTCGACCGATAACTCCGCGGACGAGTGGCGAAGATCGGTGGTGAGAGGGTGATGGAACGAGAGAGGGAGAGAGGAAAAGAGGCACGTGGGACAAGAGAGAAGTCGGGATTGGTTAAGCCGGTTGGAAAAGCCCGCCTGGCTCCTCGACCGGCCGGCACTTCGCTCAGTTCTCCACTGCGTTTCGAACGAATCGGAGCTTTCGCCAAACTGACTCGACCGGGGAGTTTCCGCGATTTATTTCGGTTCTTACATCGCATCGTTGCAAGATAACGCGCCCCTCTCTCTCGCTCACTTTCTCTCTCTCGTATTTTTCTTTATTCCACATTTTTCTTTTTTTTTTTCTATTTTTTCCTTGTCAAAACGAGACACCCTCTCGAATATTTTTTTCAACAAGCCCTCCCCTCGGTTTCGTTTCGCTCCCACTTTTCGACTTCTTACAACAGGCTTCCTCGTCAGTTCTTGTCCACGTACTTTTCCTCGTCCTTGTCCAAGTTATCGTTCCAATTTTGTTCGGAGGACAAACGAAACGAGAAACGGGAAGAAAATAACTATGCCCGTGGACGAAAAAGCATCGTTATTTCTCGTTTAGGATATCTCGATAGATTTACAGATTTATCGTCCCCAAACGAAGAAAGGATTAATAATAATCGGAGAAAAGGAAAGGATTCGCTACGGAAAGCGGTAAGTTTTTCTTTTTTTCACTCATTCTATTCCCATTGTTCTCTCGTTTTCCTTCGCGCTAAATATTTTTCGAGTTTGCGAGGTGAAGTAAAAAAAAAAAAACGAGAGAAACATTTTTATGGTTTAGATGGGGGAAATTCGTTATTTGTCGGGCAGAAATAAACGTGAAATGTTCTTTTTCTTTCTTTTTTTTTTTAATGGAAACTTTTCTCCAGAGAATATAACGTACAGAATATACGTATATTTCGTATATGCACGAGGGAAAATGAGCACTAATGTTGCCCATTAACGAGAGGTCCGCACAGCCACGCCGCGGTGTACTGCTGCCTGTATAACTTTGGGAATTCGTATTCTGGGTTAATTACGAAACTGCGGAAATTTAATTTAAGGACGTTGTTAAATTTTCATCGAAATTTTATTCAACCAAACTACTCGCCCAAAAGATAATTTTCATTTTCGTTCCATTTGCCTCCGCTCTTCACTCTCTCTCTCTCTCTCTCTCTCTGAAGAAAGAAAAAATATTTTCAGGGGAGGGGGAAAAGAGGAGGAAGTTGGCCGCGGAATATAGGAGGAATTCGATGATGCTCCATTCGTTCCGCATAGTTGTCACGAATTCTCGAAGAAATTCGTGCTGCATTAGACACGTGAAACTAAATGGCCTGGTCGCAGAATTTCAATTATCGCCCATTGAAATCGGACAGGAATCACGAATCACCATTTCATCGGATCGTGGTTTTGTTTGCTCGTGCATCCTTAATCGGTTTACAAGCCTATCGATTTCTCGCGTTTAACACGAAATCTCGAATTCAGAACGCGAAATTGCCTCCTGATTGGCATTAATCGCTCCCATGCGTGCGCCCCCTCTCCTCTCTCTCAAAACATCGTCCACGCTCGTATCGACGCTCGAAAACAAAGCCTCGGTCGAACAATTTCGATCGATTTCGGTGCGATTTTCTCTCTCTCTCTCTCGAAAGAGACGAGAGGCTCGCCATGATCCTTGGCCCGCAAGATTTTCGCCGAGCGGAACTTCCTTTCTTATTAATACGTAAAAAAGAACGAAGCCAGAAACTGTGACATGTACTTGGCAAGCTTTTGCTAAAATCAGCTCTTTCATGCGAATCAATCTAAACGGATGCTCCCAAACGGATAGCACATATATATATATAGAAACTATTCGAACTAGGTCGCCATCTTTTTTCCCCCCTCGTATTCCGCGATATCCGTGCTTCCCTATCCAATCCTCGATCTCGTTGGATTGTTCGCGAAATTATGTACATCTGTTTGCGTTTTATCGAGTGCCAATGTTTTCTTCCCCCTCGATTTTTTGCCTCGAGA